TATTAACTAATTGATATACTATAGCATAAGAGCAGCCAGATTGTAGTGTAAAGAAGTATGATTCGAAGGCGCCTTTCTGAGCACTAATTCGATTTACATCTGATCTGGCTCGGTTTCTCAATTGAGCCGGAACAGGAATTAAGTTGAGATTGTAAGAGGCGATTGAAAAAAACCTCAAAAAGCAAATAAATAAATATGAGAGAATATTTTACTTGTTAGGCCAACTAAAGATTCTAACAATGCCAAACTAACATAGCTAGCATTCGAATGTTTGTATTCACATGATCACTGTTTTAGCATATAAGATTTATAAAGATAGATTAAATACAATATTTATAATACAAAATTTTGGATTAATGGACTTATCTCATGGTATTTATAATAAATATCAAAAAGTGAAAACGTAGAAGAGTCAATATCAATTGCTTACCCTCGAATTCAAGATTGTGAACTTGGTAAAGCGATTATTGTCCAAATAATTGACTGGGCTGTAAAGATATAAAAAAAGAATGTAAAAATTGAAGGATAAATAGATCGTAGATCGTAGATCAAGATAGTGTGGCCTTCTGTTTGGTTATCGTATTCGTGATTTCTAACATCGTACCATTAACTTGGTACATTGCCAAACTTTTCGCCGGCATCGTTAGTGAGAGGTGCCATCATCAGCACAGAGTAATAGCTTATCAAAGTGGCAGATAAAGGCAATCTCGTTAACCAATTTTCTGTTCAACCGTTGGGACATTACTCCTCGCCCCTAATTTTGTTCTACCTTCTAATGCCGCATCTCTTTTTCTGAACCCCACTTCATATGACCCATCAACCTATTCACACAATTCTGTTCTCTCGTTTCCTCCAATGTCGCATAAGTGGTTTAGGGAAGGGTAATAATCTCCATCACCGATACCCAGTGCCACTTACAGGGCTCATGACCTAACTTTAACCAACGCTAAAAGAAAAAATAGTTGTGCCAAAAAGAATGGCTAGAGTTAAAAGATTAAATAAAATAGTACAAAGAGATCCATACCATTCGACCAAGCCTATGTAGACGCCATTCGAAGATACAAAAGCGCCATGAAATTCCCAATGAATGCCTTGGTTAGAGGGATCCTCCGAAGGCGCGATAGGTGCAGCAGGATCCGAAAGAACCTCACTAGTAGGAAGCCGGCTGGGTGAAGCGCGATAAATAATATTCCAATCTAAATAAAATAAGGAATACAATGCATTTTTGAAAAACCTACGAGTTCCAAAGGTTTAAAAACAACGAAAAAATCATTCAAGTTTAAATGCTACAAAGCTAACCATAATGAATCAAGTTTGAAAGGTCAATACAATACAGTAGTCCATCGAGACAGGTGATGATGAGTTTTTCCTTGTAAATGCAGAGACCTATTAAAATAAACGAAAAATTTAAATAGCAGTTTGGTATTAACCTTAAATCCGAAATTAATAAAATTAAGTAATTAGATTTAAATTC